TTTGATAAAGTGCCTTATTATGTCTTCGAGACATCTCAAAGCACTTCACAGAATATAATGTAAAGTGAATTGACTGTATATTTTGAGGGTGAAACTCAGCAGCCAATTGCGCACAGCAGTGGCCCACAAACAGTCGTGGATTGAGTGACTAATTTATTGGTTTTTTTTTGAAGGAATTATTACCCCAGAAAAGTGATCAGCCAATTGACTAACAATTGGGTTCCTACTTACTGTAGGTAAGCAGAGGCAGGTAGAGTAAGGAAACTTGCCCAACGTTTCGCCCTGCCAGGAATCAAACCCAGGTCTCTTGCTTCTTATGTTGTTGAGATGTCTTCAAGCACTTCACAGGATATACTGTGAAGTGAACTGACTATATATTTTGTGGGCAAAACAAATATTGATCCCTAGTTTGGTTGTAAAACTTTTACAATGAGAGTGGTGGATGGATGGATGGAGAGTTATAGCTCATGCCGCACACATAGCCTGATCCAAAACTCTAAATTGTAAACACTGCTTGCTTGAACACTTACGGAAAGATTGTATTATTAAAACAAGCTGCTGTTAGCAGTTTCTAAAACTCCTCTGCAGCAACTGTGGGTCAGAATTAACCTACGATACGAACACAAATGAGTCATTGAGGTTAATTCAGTGGTTCACTCATTACCTAGCAATTCAAATGGACCGCCTCCTTTTCCCCTACCCACTCTCATCCTTCCCACCTTGGGTTGTTTCATGAAGCCAGGGACCTGTGGCTTTGGATTTCTGGTTCACGGGTGGCAGCTTCCAATTTAGTGAACAAAAAGAAACGTTAGAGACGTTCTATCAGACACAAGGATCGTTACAGAAAAAAAACACAACATATCCAGCACTCTGAGTCTAATGCCAAAGGCTCAGCAACATAGACATCACCATCGAGAATGACGTGGGGAGCAGAAATAACACACAGATTCCCAGGCAAGCACAAGTCCATTAAATATCAAATTAACTGCTAAATTGCCATCGCACTAAAATGTTACATTTAACAGAGTAAATCACAAGGGACGGGCGGGGAACACGAAGCAGACCGGTGCTTGACCAGCGAAGGGAGCAGCTGGATCAGTGCTGTACTTTAGAGTAGCTGGCGTATTGATGAGGTCTGCTGCCTTCACAAACAAATATAACTAAGATGGAAACTTTAGTTAGCAAATACATTTTAATCTCTATTTCAAATAAAGCTCCTTTTTTTCAGGTCATTAATTTTAAGTCTTTTAAACGGAATGATTAACACATTTTTAATACATCAAACACTGAAGATAATAATAATAATCCTTGTGTTTGACATAGCGCCTTATCACGTCTTTGAGACGTCTCAAAGTGCTTCACAGAATATACTGGAAAGTGAATTTACTGTGTATTTTGTGGGCGAAATGCTTTACCATTAGTAAAAGAACTGCTCTGGGAATCAGGCCTCAAACCAAAGGTGCCAGACTTTGCTCCATAAACCTATGTGACCTCTCTGGGCACAATTCCAGTCAAGAGTGCCGCCTGATTATAGGAGTGAGGCAGGGAAAGGGCCGCGGAGCTTGGTCAGCTGAGCAGCTTAACCAGTTGCTGAGGGAATCAACGGTTACCTCAGCTGCCTGTGAGGCAATTAAAGATTCTGAACAAGGCCAAGCTAGGAGGCTGCTCTCCCAGCTCAGTCTAACCTCGGAGTAACATGGGAAGTAATAATAAATAACAATAATTCTGTACAGCCCATCTCTTTGATTCTATATCTTGACTAGGTCACACATATGGGGATCCTTTATGCATCAGTGATGTTCAGCTTTCATTCCGTTCAGTCATAGTTTAGAACGATTCTGATAATCATTGTATTTGATACAGCGCCTTGCATGTCATGAGGATGTCTCAAAGTGCTTCACAGGATTCACTGTAAAGTGCAGTGACTGTTTTTTAGGTGAACGTTCAGTGTGCAGTTCCGATCATCAGCATTTAATGGGGTCCAGAGAACTGACATTTTAACAAAAGCCTACATAAAAACAGGAGGTGCAGTGTACTGGAAACTTAATCATTGTGGGATCCCACCTCCAAAAAAATATTCAAGGGGAAAAAGTTCTTGATAAAATTAACTAAAGACACAATTGAGGGGAAAAGGTTGGTCAAGTTTTGAAGTGCTGAACATTGCTGTTTTCCATCACCAATAGCTGCCTTGGGAACACAACCGCAAAAAAAAATAAACTGCACTTATATAGCACCGTTCAGCATCATACGATAGTGTCTCTAAGCATTTTACAGAGATGGAGTGGGAGTAAAATAGCCTGAAATTGGTTGCGTAGCATACTTGAAAGCTCGATATGACTCATAACAGGTGAGATTCATACAACAGCCTTTTCTTTTACACCCACAAGCATTTCTGCAAACTGCGGTTCCAGCTGAGAATTTCTCAACTCTTGATCTATGGTTGCATTTCTTTCCGCACTGGGTTCTGTGGAAGATGCAAAATTTCCCAGGGCAGGAACCTGAAAGATCAAGGAATAAAGAGTTCCTGTTGGCGGTGTGGAAAGTAGGTCGCCTTCACCGTAAGAAATCACTCAAGCTTCCACCTGAATCAACCATTGAATCTATTAAATGAAAATTGGTGTCTTGCAGCGAATGGCTAGATCCAAAGAGACCAGCGAGCTGCTTGAGTTATGAAGTCACATTGTCTTAAAGTGACCAAAGGTCTATCCCTCAGCAGCTGGATTCACAGTCCACAGAGAACTGACTAATAAGCAGCAGTGTCTGAGGCACCTGTCATTTCCTACCAGGACTTATAGAGCTTAGCAGCCAGTTGTCATTCATCTTCTAAGGAACTTTGGATTGTTCTTTTTCGCACTCCCAAGAAAAGTGGGCTGACAAGTAGAATGTTTCATTTCAGATTCGGTAATTAGTTGATGCGACGTCAAATCTACAAAGATTTACAAAGGATATACAGCACGGAAACAGGCTACTCAGCCTAACCAGTCCGTACTAGTGTTTATACTCCACACAATTCTTCACTCATTCCGTCTATTCCTCTTCTTCATGTGAAGGTCTAGCTTCCTCTTGAATGCATCCCCCACTCTTTGGAATGCCAACCCAAATTCCCTTCACCTTGCTCCCTCCCTTCTTCAAGGCATGTCTCAAGAACCTCCTTTTCGACCAAGCTTTTGGCCACCCTCCTACCCTCCCTGCACTCCACCTGTTTGTGTCCAAATCCCTGACTGTCCAGTGCCTTGAGACGTCCTCCCAACTTGAAAGTCGCCATACAAATGTAATTTTGTAATGTATCTACACTATCTGATTCATTACTTCAGGCAGTGAGTTCCACAATCTCACCACTCACCGTGTGAAGTAGTTCCTCCTAAGTTCTCTTTTAGATCACCTAGTCACTGTTCAACAACAACAACAAAATTACATTTGTATAGCGCCTTTCACTTTGGGAGGACATCCCAAGGTGCGGGACAATCATTGTTTCAGACCCGTGCTGGGGATTGGGATTGGGGAGGGTGGAGGGCATGGGGGAAGCAGGGTGATTGAACACACGGTCGAAGAGGAGGGTCTTGAGATGGGTCTTGAAGGAGGCAAGGTAGGGGGCGAGGTGGAAGGACTGCGGGATGGAGTTCCATTGGGTCCTATACCAAATGTATGGATGATTATTATTATTATTGACTAAGCTAAGTGACTATCTTACTTTTAACTGACCTCAAATGTCAATCTCTGTAGTTGAGGTAATGAAGAAACTGAGAAAGCAACTTGTGCTCCAACCATTTTGCCAAGGTTGGGGGTTTAGGTGGGCGGGAAGAGGTTTGCTAGGGGAAATTATTCTTTTGCTATGGGAGGGGAAAAAAACATTGTTCTGTAACAGAAAGAGGCACATGACAAACCAAGGGCAAGTAACATGTAAAAAACTGGCAAACAAAACTCATAATGGGGCCTCGATGTTTGGGAATCCATAAAATCATATCAATAAAAAGGGGCAGTAGTCAGTGTCACTGTGTATGCGCACAACCGGCTGACTTGCTCCCTGCACAAGGGCTGGTTCCAAAGCTAGAAGAAAAATTGACCAACTTCTGGGGTATTAGGTCACTGAAGACGTCACTTTCTGTTTGCACCGAATGTGCAAAGAAAGAAGTGATGTCTCAGAAACCCGATGACCTGGAAGTTGTTCATTCTATTTAGAGCAGGAAACTAAAACAACCTGGGAAGCTCATTCCGCTATAGTGCAAATTCGGTTATGATTGGTAACTGTAACTGAACCGTAACCATAGCCATTCGTTACCCAATTTTCACTATAGCGGAATGAGAGCAGGATTGTGGTATAAGATTTGGTGGCTCTTGTACAGAAAAATGACAGCGCACACTTGATAATAATAATCTTTGCATTTGACATAGCATTTTTCACACGAGTAGGAGTCCCCTAGTGTCACAATGTGACATCATGAAGTAAATTTTATTTGGGGGATTGTTGGCCAGGAGAAATTCCCTTCTCTTTTCGAATAGTGCATTGGATCTTTAACATTCACTTGGACAGGCAGATGGAACCTTGGTTTAATGTCACATCTAAAGGACAACACCTCTGACAATCCAGCATTGCATTGGAGTGTCAGCCTCGACTGAGTTCAAAATCCCGACATGGGGCTTGAACCCAGAAACTTTGGACTCAGAGGTGAGAGTGTTACCAACTGAGCCAAGCTGATATTGTACATTTCTCTGTGATTGTTAGGCGAGTGTTAACATCCCACTGTTGTGGTGTAGCCAGCATTCAGTATCAAGGTATGAGCCACAGAGAAGAACTCATCCCTTATCTCATAATGATGACAAGCTACTGTGCTTCTTTCAAATGGCTCCTTTTCAACAAAAACTCAAAACTGTTAATTTTTCCATTGCAAAATAGTAAATACAGCTGATGTCAATGCAAATTCAGGGGAATTTTTTTTTCCTTTCAATAAAACAAATCCTGAAATGCACAGTACAAATACGAGCAGAAATGACACACTTACCTCAACTGTTTCAGTGTTGGAATATCTGCTCAGAGTCGGCTGTGAAGGGCTTATGACAGTGATCTGCACAAAGGCATTTGGTTTCCGATCACGAGCTGCAGCCACCAGCTCCTTGCATGCTGGTGAAAAAGCAAAGAAAGAAATTGTCAGCAGGACTTCAAAGGGAACAAGAAAAAAGTTTTTTTTAAAACAAAAAAAAGAAATTATCAACACAGGATGGACAGGATCTATCTCAAACAGAGAATTTGGCTCCAGAGACGCAACTGAGTGAGCAAAGGAAGTCCTTTGGAAAAACCTTACAGAATTAGGAAGTCACGTGCTCAGGGCTGATGTGGAGACTTAATTTTCACAAACCTTTCCATCAAGTATTTGAGACGTCAATGATCCCCAACCAAGTGTTACTTGTCTGATTTTTCTCTGCTGTAATTCTGTTTTGCTCTGCAGAGTTCTCGCTGTGGTAGAATCAACTCACACTATCAGGCACCACTGAATTTTGCATTGTTTGGTTACTAGAGGGACACACACACATATACATACATACAGACATACACACAAAACCTACTGTGTGTCACTTTGTGAGTTTACAGCTCATGTTTTATCAGGAAATAACTCACTCTGGCATCCGTTACCCTTGAACATTTTAACCTCATTCCTGACCACCAAAGGAAAATAAAACCAAAGGCAGAAAAGCTTTCAGTTTAATTGAATGCTCTCCCCATTAAAGATCTCAGCTCATGGGTTAGCACTTGTTCATCCTCCACCCGTTGGCATTATGCACAGCGAGCATCTTTTTTACACAAACTAGCAATCCCTTAAAGAGAGTCAGTCACAAGATGTGAAGGATTTCTCACGGTAGGTAGAGATTTGTTTTTCAAAACAAAAAGAAAAATGATTTATAGAAACAAGAGCTTTAAGGATCGACAAAGTAAGCGAACGATATAGGAAAGGCATTCGGAAACGAACACATACCATTCAGATGGTTATAGACTTGTGAGATCAATCTGCTTAATGCATTTGCCAGAAGGGATGTTAAGTTCAGGAAATGAAATCCATGCTACGGTCTGTTCTGAACAGTGTTTAAACCAGGAACATGTTTAAAATAACATTGGTCAATAATCAAATGCATATTGGCATGCTACCAAGTTTGTGTGTGGAGTGGAGGAAAATGAATGAATGGATGGGATGGGATTTGAAAAGAACACATGATTTTGTGATTATATCCAGGAACAAAATCATCATTGCGCTATCTGGTAGGACTGAAAAAAAATCCCAACAAATTCCATGCATCATTCCCTTAGGTAAGCATAAATACCATACAATCTATACTGATAATGAGAGCAAATTGTACCCTCATTTACCACATACCAGAATTTTATCACTTTTCCCTCCTCCCCCCGGTGACATATTAGACAAAAACAAGGATGCAACGCATATTTTAGCCTTGCAACGATTCTTTATTTAAAGAAAAAGAAAAGTTGTACAACAAAAGCATGTGTCTCCTTGTTTTTCAGCTGAACACTTCAGTTCAGTGCTGAATGCCATGTGGATCAGTGCCATGCCAATGCCACAGGCACCTATCCTACTACTTGACATTGGTGTCAGATTTGGCTGTAAAGAGAATAGACTGGATCCATTACTGTACATGCTTGTGACAAATTAAACAGTGTCTCTTTGCTGTGTAGGGGGCAGCATATGTGCAGCCCACAGTTTCTGATTTCAACTCAGGGTGTGCTCACATGTGGTTGAATGCAAACACCTGCTAATAGAGCTTAATGAACTGTCAGCCACTGCATTAAACTCCTGATAACTCATCACTCCAAGGGAAAAGGGCTAAGTGACAACTTATCAGATATGACGAGTTAGGCATATATATAAATACATGTGGCTGGGATATTGACAGCACGATGACTTACATGGTAGTGACATGTTAAGCCACGGTTGAGATATTGGGAGTTTACTGTATTTTTTAAAAGGTCAGCTAGGGTGATGTTTAATTGGGCGGTGGGGGGAATGGTGGAGGGAAAAGCAAGAGAGTGGGATGAATCAGGACTCTCTGCGAAAGAGCTGGGACAGGCACGAGGTGCCTCATTCTGTGCTGTAACATTCTATGGGATTGTTTCACAGCCCAATTCTGTGTGATGACTTTATAATAATATAATAATCCTTGCATTTGACATAGTGCCTTATCACGTCATTGAGACGTCTGCGATGGTTCTCAACCCTAATTGTATCCCCCCGTTATGACAAAGCGCCCGGTGTACTAGGCGGCCTCTGTATCAGTCCTTTTTCTGTATTGTGCAAATTCCCTCTCTGAGTGAAACTGCACCAATGAGAATTTACACATCACGACAGGTAATCCCAATGCTTTATTGTGCATCAAAGGGATATATTCATCAGCATCCTTTGAACTACCAGACAGCTGATATCAGCAATAACCTGCTTGTGTTTCCTCCCTTCCTTCTCGATCTTTACAAAGACTCGAGAAGCACTGTATAGAAAACTCAACGGTGTTTTATTGGTCCTTAAACCCTATGCCTAACTTACACTACCCAAAACATGATAACTGGCACAACATTAAGGAATAGAAAATACCCTGACACTAAACTATGACACTAACAGCTTTACCCAAAGTTATGTAACAAAGAAAAAACAATCTTGACCTGGAGACGAGGCTCTCAGGTCAGGCACATACCTCCTCAATGGCACACAAGGTGAAAAGTGACCCAGAGCTCAGAGAACCCCCTCCTTTTATATTGTCCTAACTCCTCCCCTTTCCAATGTATTGCATTGATTTTTTTCCCTTCCATTTCCAATCTCCTCCCCTTTCAATATATAAGTAGGTTCCCACTCCAGGACTCATGTGATCCTTTCCAGCCTTTTTGTTTCAGTAACTCACCCAGGTCACAGACTTCATGTTGCCAAGGCTGTCCTTAACACTCTAAACTATATTTCGGTCCCAAGACCACAAATGCGCTTAAAAAGCGAAGGAGTCCAATTTGCACAAAATCTCACACATATAGAATATCTACATTAATAACCCCAACAAAAGAGGTGAGTGTTAATCTAAAAAAGGTGACCATGACACGTCTCAAAGCGCTTCACAGAATATATTGTAAAGTGAATTGACTGTTCAATTTACGAAATGAAACTAAATGAAATGGATGTTATAAAATGCTGAAAATGCCAACCCCTGTGATCCTTTCACCACTGGGGAGAAGCATGCATTTACCAGAAGGTGAAGAGGTATTTTCAAGTTTCTGTTAACTTTCATTAGAATAAGGACACTCTTCTGTCTGCCCACGAGTCACTCCGTAGTGAAGAACTGAACCCACAGTTCAGTGTGTCGTGGACAGTCTGATGCGGCTGTTGGCTGCTGACAAGCACACTCATTCATTTTCATTTGAAAATATGTCAGAGACCTGCTTGGTCGATCTATACTAGGAGCATGAGGTTTGAAAACAGTCGTGTAGTGTGTAGAGAAGCAGCTTACTGGATGTGATTTAAGTGTTCTGAGATGTTAATCTACGTGAAGGGCTGTACAATAAATGCAAGTTGTTGATTCAAATTGTGCCTCACTTGCTGGTCTGAGCTGGGCCTGCATGGAAGGCTAAACTGTCCCCAGCCTTCCCTGGGTGAGGGAGAGTAAAACAGGCCAAGGTTCCTGCTCTGCTCCCTTGTTAGGACCCTCTGCTGAGAATGTGCATGTTGTGGCAGCCGGGTGAGGAGAGGTCAGGTTAGTCTGAGATGCTGAGACATCCTCCCAATATGTAAGATGCTATGTAAATCGTTGTTGTTCTGGTGGCCGACATTTTGTAATGCTGAACGGAATTTTTACTCATGAAAGAAGGGAACACAAACTCTTGCCCTACTGCAACTAAAGCACTTTGGAATGCCAATTATAGCAGTCTGCACAGCCTTCTAAGCATTATCAGAACAAAAACATATTTTGTTAGATTTAGAAACTTTCAATGGCAAATCAATCGGAGGTCTGAATCCTAAAGATAAGTCAATTTTCCATTTGTAGCGTTGATGAGAGAACAGCAAATGTAAATCACTTTACTCCAAGGTCTGAGGCTACTGGAATTTATTCTTTTATCATCTGGAATCAATATCCAAACCGCAAAAAGTAATTTCACTGGTCCCTTAAGTAACCAAACAATGCAAAATGTTGTGCTCCCAAAACTGTGAGTGAATTTTATCACAAATAAATAATCCTTGCTTTTGATATAGTGCCTTCTCACATTGTTGAGACATCCGAAAGCGCATCACAGAATATACTGTAAAGTGAATTGACCGTATATTTTGTTGGCAAAGCGCGGCAGCCAATTGCACACAGCTGTGTCCCACAAACAGTCATGGATTGAGTGACCAAATTATTATTATTTAATTTTTCTTTGGAAGGGATTATAAACTTCCGAAAAGTGATTCACCAATCGACTATAAACCGGATTCCTACTTCCTACTTACAAACAGAGGCGTGTGGAGTAAGGAGTTTTGTAGCGTATTGGATAGAGCACTCACCTCGCAAGCGAGAGGATCTGGATTAGATTCACGGGCAGTGCAAACATTAGGCAAGTTTCCTTACTCCATATGCCTCTGTTTACCCAGCAGTAAGTAGGAACCCACTTGTTAGACGATTGGCGGATCGCTTTTTTTTGAAGGGTAATAATCACTTAAAAAATTTGATGTGATAACTTATGCAGGTGATTATTTTTGCAAGGCAAAATTTTCAATCATTTTGCAAAAAAACACATTTGGTCACTCATTCCACAACTGTTTGTGGGACACTGCTGAGTGCAATTGGCTGCTGTGTTTCGCTGATAAAATATACTTTAGAGTATACAATTCACTTTACAGTATATTCTGTGAAGTGCTTTGAGACATCTTGAAGACGTGATGAGGCACTATATCAAATGCAAGGATTATTATTAAGCTCGCCTAAGGTTTCATCTGCCTGGGAATCAAAGCCAGATTCTGTCGCTTGTGAGAAAAGCGTTCTACTTAATACGCTACAGGACTCCATATTCCAATCATACAAGAAAATCCTGGTCATGAACCACCCGTGACCTGCTTGGTGTGCAGTTTTTAACCAAATACAAGAGGATATCTGGAAATCCAGCTTGCTTCTGGGTCAGTCGAAAATATCTCAGTGGAACCAATTTAAATGACAGCTGCAGTTATTCACCATATTTTTCCACTAAAAGGTTGATTAAGGCTCATTTTACCAGTGGCTGTTTTGATTACTCAAGCTTTCTACCAGGCAACATTAAAAGTAATAAAATCATGAAGTCTCTCTCCCCCCCACCCCACACCATATATTACTATTGTATTGTGCTGCTAGCCATGAGTGCAGTCGTGTGCATCTTAATTCAGTTCACGTGCATTTCTTCTGATGGCGATGGCTTACGAATGCACAGGCAATCTCCCCGGCTTTTTTTTTCTTGCTCTGTTTGCTGGTAATTGGGTCATGAGCTCCACAGTTCATTACACTCACCATCAAAGCAAATAGGATTTTTAAGTCCAGCAACTATTTTGGAATTCTGAAATCTCTGGTGGGTTGGAGGGGAGAGAGGGGGGAGGGAAAAGAGGGAGAAGTGGGGACGGAAGGGGGATTTGAGGGGGAGAGGAAAGAAGTAGGGGAGGAAGGGAGAGTGTAGCGGGACAGTGGAGGAGAGAGAGGAGGGACTGGGAGAGGGGCATGAAGTGGGAAGGAGTGGAGTGAGGAGCAGGGAGTGGGGAGAAAGGGAGAAAGTTTTTTTTAAATGAATCAACCTGTCGATGATACCAGTGGAAAATTACAGGTGCGTTTCCCACTCAGCCCTTTTAGAAGTGTAAAAACTTGCACCACTTTGTCTTGAATTTGAACTGTGGGAATGCTATTAACATGGCTCAGTCTCTCTCTCTCTCTTACATTCTTTGCAGCAGTGAGAGGCAGTGTCTCCAGATTCAGTGGTATCAGCTCCATCATCTTTCACACTTTATCTGGGATCCAGATTTCAGCACCTGGATTTTAAAATTTTATTTTTACAATTCACTTTACAGTATGTTCTGTGAAGCACTTTGAGACATCTCAAAGATGTGATAAGGCGCTATACCAAATGCAAGAATTATTATTATTATATCCTGACATCAGTTGGGGCAAGTGGAGGAAAGGGGAGAAATGAAGACTTGTACTATTAATTAAGTGTGGGCTTATATCCCAACACAACTTTATCATCTTTCTCTTTCTACGCTGTACACATATAAGTCATTCCACTCCAGTAACAAGCAGATTTGTCACAAAAACATTAAAACCCGATGGGAATGGTGTTACAGTGCCTCTCTCCATAGATGCTGCCTGACCTGCTGCGCATTCCCAGCAACTTCTGTTTTTATTAGAGTGCAATGCCGTACACAAAATAAATAAAACAGGAAAGACAGTGGGAAGGAGGGAGGGGGTTACTATTTAGTATTCAGTGAGGCTGGAATCAACTTTTTGAAACACAATTAAACTCATAAGTCATATCAGTCGGGAACATAACATTTAATGACTTGTGTGAAGTCTGAGTTGCAGGCAAACTGTATAAGTAGTACAAAAGCCGATTTCATCAATAAATTTGATGGTAAGTGTGTATGCAGTAACAGGTCAAGACTACATTTCCCCCGATTCAATGCATCTTGACCAGTCACCATATGCTCATTTAGCAGCAAGCGTTGGAATTGCATTGACTGGCAGTAAATGAAGTTCTTCTGCACATGTTTCGACATATCAAGACGGATAGGAAACTGAATGGGACTCTGGTGCATAACCAACTTACTTGACAGCGATTATACGATTTACACGGATAAGATTTGTGTGAGCTTTACCTTTGTGCTATGAGCTCCCTCTCCCTACCAGACTCCCGGTCTCTCGCCCTCCCGCATTCCCCCCCCCCCTTCCCTCTCTCCTTCCACCATTATGATGGATAAATGTCGCTCCCATGCCCAAGGGGGTTGAGAGGTGGGGAGAGGCAGTCGCTGGATGGCTCCATCCTCCATACGGTGGGCATTTTAATCATTCAGAGAAGCTCACCCACCAGCATGATCCAACGCCCCAAAAATAATTCAGCGACTGAAACTGTGGATTAAAAACCTAAACACAAGCAACATTTTAAAAGGGTTTGACGTTTCTCCTGTCCCAGATAAACTCATGTGAGGCACTTTGAGTCATCCTCGCAACGTGATAGCTGGCATATCAAATGCAAGGATTATTATTTTATCATTCGATACTACACTTTACAGTACAATCTTGTGAAATGCTTTGAGACATTCTTCCAACATGAAAGGGGCTTTACCAAATGAATGGCTTATTATTATTTAATATTATTACTGCCTGCCCCATCTGCAGATTAAAGATCCCATGGCATTATTCGAAAAGTGAAGGGAGTTTCGCTCCCGGTGTCCTGGATAATAATCCTCAAATAAAATTGGCTGTTAGTTGGACATTGGTGAGCGCAAATTGGCTGCCGCATTCACCTACAAGATACACAGTCAATTCATTTTACAGTATATCCTGTGAAGCGCTTTGAGACGTTTCAATGTGATAGAATTATTAATATTATTAACAACTCCCTGCCTCCGTTCAGCACTTGCATGTAGTCAAATCATCCCTGAACCAGACTGTAGTATCACAACTATACACAGAATATGGAGTAAAAACTGAATATTTTTACAAAACTAACCAGCTCTCGTGCTACCAATGGTTTGTCAGTCAAGCTGTGCACTCCACAGCCAACAGACCCGGAAGCAGATCATATCACAGCAGGATTCACACTGATGGGTTTGATCTAATCCAAGTACTAAGACCAGTCGATATTTGCAATTGCCATTTACAAAATATGAAAGCCCATGGTCTTACCTGGGTTGATGGGGAGGCATTACATCCTGAGCTACACTCTGACACAAATCAGGACTGCTGGATTTAAATGAAAACAGCACTCATGTGCTGTGAGCACGTACATTACTAAAACTATTCAGAGATCAAGTACTGCTGATCCAAGTTTGATCAACAGAATTTCCAAATGCTGTTTAATGAAGGCTCAAGGCACGGTATAATCAACACAATGATGTGTAATACCCAGTGTTTGTGTGTGTGTGAGACTGTGCAATCCACAGTGTGTGTGTGTGCATGTGAGTGTATATGCGTGTGTGTGTGAGACTGTGCAATACAGTGTGTTAGTGTGTGTGTGAGCGTGAACGTGTGAAAAAGTGTGTAAAGGGGTGTGTGTGTGTAAAGGAGTGTGTGTGTGTGTGTAAAGGGGTGTGTGTGCGTGTGGAAAAGTGTGCATGGAAAAGTGTGTCTGTGTGTGTAAAAGTGTGTTTTTAGGGAGACTGTGCAAGTGCGAGTGTATATGTGAGCACGTGAGAGAAGGAAAGAAATTCACATCTCATCTTACCAAGGCTGAATTCCAATTTGGGCTCAAATGGAACAGGGTCAATACCTGAAATGAGACAAAACAAAGAACTTTTTAAAATTAAGTTTTCTCTCCCCTAAACCCACTGCTAAGAAATTGTTCATCTCCCAGTGCAGGGTAGATACTGTGAGGCTCTCCTGCCTCCAACCCCCCTCCCCGAACCTCCATCCTATCAGTGACCTTCCCACCTTCAGCAAGCTTCCAAGGTAAGAAAAAAACTGCAGTAGAGGCAGAGGCATCATTGTTCCAGCTTCTGATAGGAAATCAATCAATCAGGCGGAGGTTGGGGGAAAGAAAACATTTATAATAATAATCCTTGCATTTGAATAGCACCTTATCATGTCATTTGAGATGTCTCAAAGCGCTTCACAGAATATACTGTAAATTGAATTGACTGTGTATTTTGTGGGAGAAATGCAGCAGCCAATTTTGCACAGCAGTGTCCCACAAACAGTTATTACTTTTTTGGAGGGATTATTACCCCCATAGATGAATCCGCCAATTGACTAACAACCAGGTTTTAGGGTCCTGACAATGTTTCTTTTGTTATAAACTAATCTTTACTTTTAAACTAATCATTACTTTTAAACTAACCTTTAGTTGTAAATACGTTTTTAGTTATAGTTTAGTGTGTAGTTTGCATGCAAATATGCAATCACTATGCTTCATAGTAAATCATACAAAGCGCTTTGAGACACTCTCCTGAGATGAAGGCTGCTATATAAAATGCTTGACTTATTATTATTATTACAGAACTATTCTTTACTTGTGTTGCAATAAATTGCAAAGACACTTCTCTGATGTCAAATCTCCTAGTTCCCTCACTCCCCCCAGTCCCCACCTCCCTCCATTTCATCTGGCCCATCTGCTCCCTCCATAACCCGTTAATGTTATGTTTCTGGAAGGGAAACACAAAAGGTATTGCTTATTTGCGGCCTGTGGGCGTTTCTCAAATAGGGCATTCGGCCCTCTAAAGCCCAAAGGTTGGACCACCTGCTTCAAATGCTAGTTTTGTTCAAAATAAGAATTTAAAAGAGGAGTGCTTCTTTTTAGGGTCGTACACCCACAATTGGAAGAGTTCCCAGAGGGAGGGAGCAAGCGAGGAGGGAGGGAGGGAGAGAGGGAGGGAGTCAGGGGCACTTATGGATGGAGTTCCAGAGAGCAAGGCAGATCGGCTGAAAGCTCAACCACTGACGGTAGGCCAATGCTCGCTGAGCGGCCGGGTTGGCAGGGTTGAAAGAGGTCACAGGGTGGGGCGAGTTATACCAAGTTATATAACAGGCAGCAATTGGACGGGTGCCTGTAGAGTTGCTGCAGCTATACTGCCTGCTCTGAAAGGCTTTTGCCCAGGGTCGAGCAGAGCAGAGCAGAGCACCGCGCTGGAGCAAACCGTGCCCTGTGCACACAACACTCTGCCAACACCCGCGAAACAAGATGTTTTAACACTACTGAGAGCCTGGATAAGCACCAAGAACCTGATCGTGGCCCAGAGCCTCGCAAGCATCATTTATTTAGCTGTGTATCAGCTGTAGACAGACAGACTGACAGACAGACTGGAGTTACACTGCAGAGGCTCACAATGGTTTAAATGTGAAAGGACCAGAATCTACCTCCTTGTGGTGGTTTTGTGAGCTGCAACTCTTCACTGAAAGCAATATCCAGCAACAGCTACACCACGGTTGCACAATACTTTCAGCGACGAATCTTCATGGACAGCTCCCGGCGATCAATGCAAATGGTGCAGAATAACTCCAGGACTGACCCTTCCTGGGACACGCACTCAGATTTATTTGGGGATTTGGGGAATCAAGTGCCAATGGATACAAATTCAGTCACAAACTAAAATAAAACTTCCAAGCGCGGAGTCACCCGTTAATTCAGGCGTCAATGCTTGGGGCTAATTAATGAGGCTTCAGCACTTGGCATGTGAGAGGGCACTGGTGGAGTTAACGTTTGATAAAAGCTCAGCCCACACTCATTGCTTTGGCAGAAACACTCTCAGGTGAAGAACGATCACAAGCAAGTTGCACTTCTGAAAACAATAATTTAATCGGAGGCTTTGTGCACCGTACAGTGAGAGTCAAGTGCGGTTACTAGAGGCCAAACCAAATTGTGTAAAAAAAAATTATCTGCGAGGTAAAAGTAATTTGAGACAAATTTGGCTGAATTCAATCAGCAGCGGTAATTGTCAGGCATAACTGCAGCCTCGTAATTTTTAATTTGATTTCAATGCTGAGATTTTTTTTCCAATCAGTTCATAAATCAAATTGGAAATATACTACCCACAACCCCCACCCCCTTTAGGCACTTTAAATGTTTTTTTTATTTCAAAGCATTCAATGCAACGTTTCTGTAAATCTTACTTATCAGTGGAAAGGCTGTCTCTGGCAGAGCGAGTGTCTGACGGGTCTCATCTGGGCTGGTGTTCTCTCCGATTTCCATGATGAGTTGCTGGAGGTGTGCGATCCTCCTTTGCAAACCTTCGGAGTTTGCTTCTTGGAGAGCTGCAATCCAGTCCCCACAGTCTGACTTTGAGACGGCTTCAAGATAAATGTCTGGGTCTCCACTCTGAAAAGCTGCACTCACAAAATCATTTAAATACCCTCAGTATTCACAGTTCTGGAGAAATATATACATATATCTCATATATATTAAAAAAAATCACCGACAGGATTGATGCAGTACACAGTCTGAGCCATTCATCTTCCCTGCCAGGTTTCACACACCTAACACTGTCCACCTCGGTAAAAGCTCTCTCTGCCGCTTTACATTCAGTGTGCACTTTCTCCCGGCAGCACAGCAGTCCCTAAAGCAATTAATGCGTTGCAAAACTAGGTGGCAGAATTATCAAGAAGAAAAAAAGGAAGCTACACCCACAGCTTCTGCTCAGGCAGAATCACTAGCGTCCACCTTCTAAGGATACACATAGCAACTGTGCTAGGCAGGATTCTGACAGAAGGACCACTAGGGTTTACTAAGGTGAAAGCTCCCATCCTTCAGCTAGGAGAACCCTCACCAGAGCATTGCTCATCAATTTCTGGTGATAACAGAGCATAGCACAACTTCTTTACCACCAACAAGTGATAGGGCGGGGGCAGTGATGGGGGAGGGGGTTCAGGGGATCGAGACAGCTGTAAGAGAGGAACTAGTTAGACACTATCGCACCCAATAGCATCAGTAGATATTCTCCCAGAGGGTATCTCAATTGATATCATTGATAAAACCTTTTCCCACGCCCCCCTAGGTCAGGAGCATGCTTGTCTGAGTCATAAAGTTGTGGGTGCACACTGAATGTTAAGCCCCACATCGGGAGTTTGAACTCAAAGTCTAGCCTGGTACTGCAAGACAGTGCTGGGGAACACTGCATTGGTAGAGGAACCATCCTTAGGATGAGACATTAAATTGAAGTCCCGCGTATTTGTAAATAAACATGGCAGCCAATTTAAACACAGCAATGTCCCCCAAACAGCAATGAAATAAATCATAAATTTTATTTGAGGGATTGTTGTCCAAGACACTGGGAGAAACTCCCTCTTCTTTTTGAATAGGGCCATAGGATCTTTAACATCTACCTGAACAGGCAGAAAAGATCTCAGTTTAACCTCTTATCCAAAGGACACTGGCTGACAAAAATGCTTCTAGACTTCAGGTTTAAATTCTGAATCCAATTTTCTGTGGGTTCTTTTAAAAAGTACAGAAAAACAGATCCCAAATTAAAACTGGATTTATCAGCCTGGCTCAATTGGTAGCACTTTTGCCCGAGTCAGAAGTTTGCAAGTTCAAGCCCCATATTGGGACGTTGAACTCACATACTCTATGCTAACACTCCAATGCAGTGCTGTGTGAGTGTTGCATTATCGTTGATGCTGTCTTTTGGATGAGACGTTAAACCAATGTCTGCTTGTTCCGGTGGATGTTAAAGATTCCATGGCATGTGGAACTGAAAGGATTGCAGAGCCTCAGCACATCCTTGAAATGAAAGCTGCTAATAAATGCAATTTGTTGTTGACTGAATCTATTGCTCTTGAGGGAGCCAGATAGACACATGTGATGGGTTAAAAGGCCTTCTTTTGTGCTGTATGTTTCTGTGGTTCTATGGTTCTAGAAATACATTTTATTCTAACTCCTCTAATTTCCCCAAATGCAATTAGTATCCACAGCAAAGAACAAGAGCGTTAAAGGTTCTATCTCCCAGATCAGACAAAGTGCACATATACTTCAGCTTTGCTCTCACTATTTCTGATCCCCTCTGAACCCAACAACTGGATTACAGCCTTGTAATTTACTCCCAAAGATCAATATTTCTCAATTGGTTGACTTCTGTATGTATTGTTATTTACAGGCGATATAGAAACTCGCAGTAAAGAACCCAGAAACACTTTGCAACATAAATAATATTGCATTTAATATCACACTTTATTATGTCGTTGTGATGTCTCAAAGCGCTTCACAGCTTTTTACTGTAAAGTGCAGTGACTGTATTTGTAGGTGAATGTGGCAGCTCAATTGCACATAACAATATCTGACAAACAGCCATACAGTGAGTGAGCAATTTTATTTCGGGTCTGCTAGCCAGGACACCGCTAGGAGAAACTACCTTCTCTTTTCAAATAGTGCCAAGGCATGTTTAACCACCTGAACTGCCAGATGGAACCTTGATTTAATGTCTCATCCAAAAGACAGTATATTCGACAATGCAACATACCACCAACACTGCATTGGAGTGTCAGCCTAGACAAGTCTTGACGTGGGGCTTGAAATCACAATCTTCTGGCTCAGAGATGAGAGTGCTTCCAATCGAGCCAGGCTGACACAATACCCACAAAAATAGTACTAGTGTATTCAATCCCTTTATCTTCGGAAAGGTCTGTGGGGAATATGCAAGCCTCTAACTACCAAAATTAAATTTCGTACAGAACTATAAAATACAGAATGGAGAAAAGATTTCCAACAGCACTGAAGGCATGATATCAGAGCCAACAGTGAAGTCAGATGTAGGTTTTTCACTTATTCACACTAAAAATTACCTTCCTGACTACTGCCGAATCCCAAACTTTGAAATTGAATAGAGAAGCAAACCTCAAGCATTCGGACATGCTGTTTGACATCAGTTCCAGTTCCTATAAATACACATCGCTACACTTTGCAGCATATCCAGGGAGGCGTGCTGAAATGTTCTGACGACGTCATGATAAATTGCTACATCAAATGCGAGGATTATTATTATTATTTTGAACAAATACCATTATTATGGAAATGATCATTAGCCCCATCCCCTGGCTGCAATCAAACATCAACGCCAACAGAGTAACTAACTGTGACCTCACTCACACTGGGAATCTTGGCAAAATGAACTGATTGCAAAGTCTATTGCGGATTTCAAGAGGGAAGCAGACAGATATACGAAGGAGAGAGGCTTGAAGGAGTAAGGGAATAGGGTAGGATTCAATGAACACACTGTTCTGAGAGTGGGTAGATACTCAGTGGGCCAAATGTCATCCTTCTGTGCTATACATTTCTATGATTGGATTCACACAGGAAACCACTGCAGTCAAATAGTCAGCCTAAGGCATATGCAGATTCATTCCTGCAGCGTTTGCTATTTACATTGCTGTGCGTGAATTGGATTCCACGTTTGCCTACAAGATACACAAGTCACTACACTTTACAGTCATTCCTACAAAGCTCTGAGAGATGCCTTCTCTGTGTAAGGCACTATATCAACTGTAAGGAAATATAAGGATTATACTAATATTTTTTGCAAATTCACATGTCACCTTCAGCCTGCTTTTATATCTACTAAATACACCTGTCATTTTGGATTGATTTATCAATGTAACGGAGCTTATGCTGTTAAAAATCTAAATGTTTGGTCGAATTCTGTTCCATTTTTTATTTAGATAATGCATACTTTGACAGGATTTTTTCCCCCTAAAATAGCTTAACACAGGATGCTGTGACCTTTTCATCTTTTCGTCTCCGGAAGCTTTTACTCAACTGATAGCACTCCAAATCTTGTTACACAACTTGTCCTAAATGTTCAGAGAGATAGGAATGTCATTCGACATTTTTGTTTAGAAAGAAAATCATTTACTGATAGGTTAATATTGATCTTCATAAGATGTAGTGATGGAAACACTCATATTTGGTATTGCACAGCCATGAACTGTGCTGCAGGATTATGGATCTGCCAATGACATTTGACTTCTTCTATAGAAGACCTTCATAGGATTTACTGTAAGTGAAGTGACTGTGTATTTTGTAGGCAAAAAGTTGGGTTGCTTGCTGGTTCGCCCACAAATATACAGTCACTACACTTCACAGGAAATCCTGCATTGCGTTGAGATGTTTTGACAGCGTGATAAGTCTCTGCATAGAACGTAAGGTGCATTTATAATAATCTGGGCTGATGCACTGAGGGCACAACAACAGCACAGATGCACAAACAGTGTCGAGGGGATGTCAGCAAGCCCGGTCACACAAGGGTACAATGTTTGTGCTGTGCTGCAAGCACACATCCTGACACAAAGGCACGGTTGCCAGGTGACTCCGTGTGATGAGACAGATAGAGAGACAGATGTCCTTTNAAAAAATGTTTCAACTGCTTTTAATTTATTGCTGCTCAAGAACCTACAGCTCCTGCAGCTGGCAATTTTTTCATGGATTCTCTTCGAACTTTACTTCTGAACAAATAAACCTGCTCTAGGTTTTGCCTATCTTCGCACTAAAACCACCATGGCTTTCGCCAAAAGTATCAGCGTGATTCAAAATAAATAATATAATAATAATAATCCTTGCATTTGATATAGTGCCTTATAAAATCATTGAGATGTCTCAAAGAGTTTCACAGAACCTACTGTAAAATGAACTGACTGTATTTTGTGGGCGAAACACAGCAGCCAATTGCACATAGCAGTGTCCCACAATTCAGTGAGCAAATTATTATTATTAAATTTTTTTGAAGGGACTTTTACCCCAGAAAGTGAGGGGTTCCTACAACTGGGTTCCTACTTACTGCTAAGTAAACAGAGGTGTATGGAGTAAGGAAACTTGCCTAAGGTTTCGCCCTGGCCGGAATTGAACACGGGTCCTCTTGTTTGTGAGGCTAGTGCTCTAATAGTGCTCTAATCTCATTTCAATTGTCAAATTATTTGTTTGGATCAAAAATAATTCAATAATTCAGCTCCATGCAGGTGTGTTGTATTGCACAATTTAAGAGCTGTAATGCACCGTAATACAGTCTATTCCCATACAAATTAATGACACAATCTAATGACACAATCTAGTTAAACCTAGACTCAGCATCTTGGGTCATTGCTTGTGACATGCCAAGATTGGTGTGTTCAATGATGTGGGGAAGCATTGCATTCTACAAAATCAAAGAGATTTACTCAGGCTATGTAACTGAAGGGGACAAATGGCAAACAACATCTATATAGA